GGCTCACCTGGGGAGGCTGTGGGGCTCACCTGCGGGAGGCCCACCGGGGGGTGCCGTAGGGCTGTGGCTGCCGAGCAGGACAGGGCTCAGGGAGCGGCGGTTCCGTGAGATACTCTCATCCTTCCCCACGCGCTTGTTGAGTAGCAACTGCTGCTTCAGGTCAAAAGACGCTGGAAGAGAAGGTGCCAGCTGTGCTGCAGGCACCTGAGCTGTCCTGTCTCTGGGGCCACCCCAGTCCATCACTTCCCACAGGCAGTGCCTGACCCCAGGCCCGGGCCCCGCCCAGGCCCCGGAACACAGACACAGGAGGACGGCCTCCACCCTCGGCAATGGGCGATCCCTGCATGAACTCCACATCTGGATGAGGAGGGCCAGGCTCCTGGAGACCCCTTGCCGTGACCTCAGCCCCAGCAGCCACAGGGCACAGCCCTGCTCCTCAGAGACATTCTAGAATATTCCTGCTGTCACCCAGGGAGGTGTCTCTCAGAGGGCGAGCTGGATCCCTGCCCCAGAGAAGCCCTTGGATTTAGTTCATGGGTGACACTTGCTGAAGGTACCTGGGGCAGGCAACTGGGCTTCTCTGGGCCTCAGTGTCCCCCTCCGTGGAGCAAGGACCCCCAGGCATGGCCCCCACACCCATCCTGGCCCCCTCTCTGCTGGTCCTAAGGGACCCTTGTCCCTATCTCACTGTTTGATGTCTGAGGCAGGAAGAGGGCACAGGGTTGACCATTCCAGTTTTGCTTCCGGAGACCCAAGACCTCCACGTGGAGGGCTTCAGGTCGAAACACAACGCTACCGTCAGGCCAGAGGATGGCACGGCATCCCACGGCTGAACCTCCCCAGTCAGGGTGGAGGGACCGGGCTCACCTGAGCTCTCCCAGCGCTGGGAGCCTCTGCTCTTGCCTTTGTCTTTGCTGCCCTTGGTGGAGGCAGCCAGCTTGGTGGGGATCTGCTGCTGCACGGCTGCCTGCCGCTGAAACTGGTTGGTGGTGCTGAGCAGCTGGATGGGCACGTCACTCTTGGCCAGCCGGCCCTCGCCCAGGGCACTGTCCCGACGGGCCACCTCGGGGCGCTCAGCGTACTCAGGTCCGGCTCCAGACAGCAGCACGCTCACCCGCGGCCCCTCCAGCCCTTCGCCGTTGAAGCTGAGAGGGTGGCTTGGGGGCTGCACCTGGAAGGGAGACAGTAGATGTGTCCCAACGCCGCAGTTCCTGCTGGGTGGCCTCTTGAGTGCCCCCAAGGTCACACCAAAGGGAGACTTGTGGCCTCTCCTGCCAGGAGGGCCCATTCTGGATAGAGCTGCCTCACATCTGCTCAGATGTTCACATCTGCTCACACAACCCATGGATTTACTTTTTTATTTCTTAAAGTCGGGGTCTTGCTCTGTTGCCCAGGCTGTAGTGGAGTGGTGCAATCATAGCTCACTATAGCCTTGAACTCCTGGGCTCAAGTGATCTTCCCACCTTAGCCTCCTGAGCAGCTGGGACTACAGGTGCACACCACCATGTGCGGCTAACTTTAAAATATTTTGTAGAGATGGTGTCTCATTCTATTGTCCACGCTGGTCTTCAACTCCTGACCTCAGATGATCCTCCTGCCTCAGCCACTCAAAGTGCTGGCATAACAGGCATGAACCACGGTGCCAGGATTTAGTTTACATATTTTTAGAGACAGGTCCTCACTATGGTGCCCAGACTAGTCTCAAACGATTCTCCTGCCTCAGCCTCCCGAGGAGCTGGGACTACAGGCAGGAGCCAAAACACAGGGCCTCATCGCTTTTTGTTTTTAAAGAAGTTTCCAGTATTTCTCGAGTGCCCTGTGCCACAGCGCCGGTGAGCGTTCAGCCACCAGCTGTAAAAAAGGTTCCGTTTTGCAGCACGTGGTGTCGATGCCACCTCACCCTGTCCTTTCTAAACTCACACACGCGCACTCACAAGTTCCCCGTAGGCCCGCTCGCGGTCCTACGCCCACTTGCGCTCAGTTCCACGCAGGCTCACTCACGGTCCCGTGCATGTGCGCGCCCACAGCCCCACGCGGGCGCGCTCAAGGCCTTAGGCGCGCACTCACCCAGTCCCACGCAGGCGCGCTCAGTCTCACGCACGCGCACAGCCCGCGGTGCTCACCTCCAGCGCGTCTGGCGACAGTGCCCCGGGCGCCGTGTTCTGCTTCTTGAGGCGGCGCAGCAGCTCCAGGCGCTCGCGCTCGCGCTCCCAGCGCTGCTGTTCCTGGCGCAGCTGGCTCTGCAGCTTCTCCATGCCCGCGCGCTCCTCCCGCTGTTTCTCGAAGTTGCGCTGCCGCTCCTGCTCCAGCAGCAGGTTCCCGCGCGTCGACTGCAGCCGGAACTGCTTCTCCCGCTCCTGCATGGCCGCCCGCTGTGTCTCCACGTAGCTGTCCTGCTGGGCGATGACCGCCTGCAGGCCGGCCGGGCGGTGAGAGCCATGCCTGGGCCTGCCGACCAGGGAAGGGGGCGCGTAGCAGGTCCCGACCCCATCCCTACCTGGAGGCGCAGGAGCAGCCCTGACAGCTTCTGGATCTGCTGGATGAGCTGCGGGAGGAGGGAAAGATGCGGCTCTTGCCAAGGTTGGCACATGCATGCCCGCCCAGGGAGATGGGCAGGGTGCGCCTACCTCCGACTCCAGGATGGTGGGCAGACGGGGGCCAGACTCCACGCTGGGTGCTTCCACCTGAGAAGAGGACAGCGTGAAGCTGTAGAGAACATCCGAGGACCATCCAGCAAGTCCCAGCCAGCTTATCGACAAGGCATCCCCTTGGCTTGGGTGACAGGAAGGACCCAGGGCCGGGCTACCCGTGGGGGGACAGCCCCTGCTGGTGTTTTGACTTGTACCAACCCGGGTGTCTGGAAGACGAGGGGTGGGGCGGCCCGGGAAGTAGGGTGTGCTTGGATGTGAAGGCCGGGTGCCAGACCCTGCCTTGAGGCAAGTCCAAGGCCTCAGAGCAGGTCAGAGGCCTTGGCTTCTGACCCCTCCCTCGGCAGGGCAGGGTGGGTGATTGGCCTTCTGAGTTAAGGGGAGGGAACAGCCAGGGAGTCTCTGGCATCCAGTAGGCATTACCATACCTGTATGAGTGAGGCCTGTGGGCCCTGTATGGGCTTCCCTGCCTGCTAATTACTCCGCAGTGAGTGCTCTGGCCCATCCCCTTCAGAGCCTCCCTCCTAGGACTTCCCAGGGCTGCAGGAGGAAATCACTTGCTGACACATTGACCTGGGCTGAGACACTATTGTTGCCATAAAACAGAGCAGCAGCTGGTGATGTCCATCACAGGACAGAGAAATCAGCCCCAACAGAAGCTGTTCACAGTTGCTAATAATTACAACTCAGGGCTGGGTGCAGCAGTTCATGCCTGTTATCCCAGCACTTTAGGAGGCTGAGGCAGGAGGACCGCTTGAGCCCAGGAATTCCAGACCAGTTTGGACAATGTAGCAAGATCCCATCTCTATAAAAAATTTTAAAAAGTAGCTGCGCACAGTGGCTCATGCCTTTAATTCCAGTGCTTTGGGAGACTGAGGTGGGAAGATTGCTTGAGCCCAGGAGTTCGAGACCCCATCTCTATAAAAAATAAAAAGTTAGCCTGGTATGGTGGTGTGCACGGTAGTCCTAGCTACTGGGAAGGTTGAGGCGGGAGGATTTCCTGAGCCCAGGAGGTCAAGTCTGCAGTGAGCCATGATTATGTCAAAGCACTCCAGCCTGGGTGACAGAGTAAGACCTTAACTCAAAAAATAAATAAAAGTAACTATGACTTGGACTGATGCTACTCAGAGAATGGATACCCCAAGGAAGCCACTTCCCACCTGCAGTGATTCCTCAGAGCTCCCAGGAATGTCGTTGTCACTGAGCTTCAAGTCCAAGCTGTCTGTGGGACCTCGCCAATCTTGGGGCCTGGGGTCATTGCCGCAGATTTTCTTCTTGAAACTGCCATCTGAGAATCGCAAGCCAGGAGTGTGAGGACCCTGCAGATCTCATGGAGGGCTGGGACCCTCCTCTTCAACTCCCAGCCACACCCAGGTAGGAAATCCAGGCTGGGCCACCACCGCCTACAGACCTGAGCCCAAACAGTGGCATTTGCAGCCCTGGGATCAGCCTGAGAGGGGTGGCTGGCCTGGGTGCTGCTGTCAGAACATGACCGACAACACTCAGGGGACTACACGACATTCCAAGAAGCCACCCCGCCGCGGGTCTGCCACAGCTTACTCTTGCTGGGGCTGTTGGTGCTGTCGTAGCCTCCAAAGGTCTCGGCCCTCCGGGGCAGGCCTGCAGAGCCTCCTCCATCCTCCGCCTGGCCGTCAGCACTGCCCAGCCGCCTGCAGATCAGGCCCTGGATGTCCTCGACTGTGGAGGAAAGGGGAGGGGATGGGATGGGCAGGTCAGCCCGTGGACACATGCTGGGGGTGTCAGAGTGGCAGGGCAGCCAGACCCGGATGGGCTGAGGGACTTGAGGGGTAGTGGCCCCCCGGGTCCCCATGGTCTGTTTCTGTGCACTCTCTTATTCAAATACAGAGCAGGCCAGCTGATGTCTGAGAGGCTGGAGCAGTGGGGCAGCTGCCAGGGAGGGTGGTGCAGACTCCACACATGCTCCCTCTCTGGATGCGGCCCTGCCCTGGGGCCAGGGGTGGCCACTGCATATGTGACAGTGGTTTCATGGGAGGGTGGCCCCAGGGGAAGGGCTGTCCACAGAAAGCCCTCTAGGACCAGCAGGCCGTGTTCAGGTGAAGATACGGGGACAAGAACATGCTGGGCCATGGTGCAGGATATGAGAATGTCTGCAGAGGGTCAAGAACAATGGCCACTAGAGATAGGTGGAGGGATAACATAGGTGTGGCTAGAGGGAGCATGGCTAACACCACCCCCCCATCTCCACTCTTTTATTATGCAGGAAGGGGCTGTGTCTGTCTCATTTATCACTGAAAAAGCATCCTAGCACTTTGGGAGGCTGAGGCAGAAAGATCGCTTGAGCCCAGGAGATCAAGGAAATCAAGACCAGCCTGGGCAACGTAATGAGACCTCACCTCTACAAAAAAAATTTAAAAATAGGCGAGCATGGTGGTGCATGCCTATACTTCTAGCTACTTGGGAGGTTGAGGTGGAAGGATCCTATGAGCTGTGGTTGAGGCTGTGGTGAGCTGTGATCATGCCACTGCACTGACTCAAAAAAAAAACAAAAACAAAAAAAAAACAGGAGACTGAGCACTGGCCTCCTCCTGAAAAACATGGAGTTCTTGGCCTCCTGGGGCCAGCTCTGGGGAGTGCCACTGGGCTCCAAGAGCCCAATAAGATGGCCTACTGAGGGTGCATCGGTGCTTTCTTCTGGGGATGTCACCAGGGACCCACCTCTCAGAAAAAATGTACCTCCGGTGGGTGGGGAACTGGTCTCTATCCACTTCAGAACCAGGGCCCGGCTTGAAGCCTTGTGTGTAGTGGGCATAGAGTAGTGTTGTTTTTTTTCCTTGAGCTGGGGGTCTCACTCTGTTGCCCAGGCTGGAGTGCAGTGGTTTGATCATGGCTCACCGTAACCTCTGCCTTCTGGGCTCAGGCGATCCTTCTGCTTCAGTCTCCCAAGTAACTGGGAATACAGGCGTGCACCATTATACCTGGCTAACTTTTTTGTAGAGACTAGGTCTCACTATGTTGCCCAGGCTAGCCAGTCTTTAACTCCTGGCCTCAAGCAATCCTCCTTCCAAAATGTTGGGATTATAGGAGTGAGCCACCGGGCTGGTTGAATGTCTGCTAAATGGAGAGAAAGTGCGTCAAGACTGCAATGAATTGTGTCTGAGGCCCTTCTGGCTCTGGCAGATACCAGTGGGGGGTATCTCCCAGCCCCCATCAGATAGAAGCCCAGCCCAGACCAGTCCCCAGGAATCCACTGGGGCAGGATTGCGGTGTGCGGTGGTTGACTTACTCTGGCTCATGGCCAACTTGAGAGTCTGCTCTGCCTTCAGGGTCTCGGAAGGGTCCCCTCCGCGGAAGAGGACTTGGGACTGGGGACTGTCTTCGAGCCCATTCATCTCAGCCATCTCCAGATAGATCTGCTGCTTCTCCATAAGGCTCTGTGCAATCAGCTGGTCTTTCAGGTTCAACCGCACTGCAAAGTGTGGGTGGAGGTGGTAGTTGGCCCACTCGGCCTTCCCTGGAACTGTCCCTCCCACAGGCCAGCGTAAGGCTGGGAGCCCCCACTGACCCTGTCCCAAGGTAGGCTGTTCCCTACAACCCACATTCCCATGAGGTGGGGGAGGGTGTGGCCTTGTCCTCTGACTGTTTCCCCCAGTTATAAAGATCAGGCTGTGCTTATGGCTCACACCTATAGTCCCAGCTACTCTGGAGGCTGAGGCAGGAAGATTGCCTGAGCCCAGGAGTTCGAAGCTGCAATGAGCTATGATCACACCACTGTACTACAACCTGGGTGACAGAGAAAGACTCTGTCTCAAAAAAAAAAAAAAAGTCAAAAATAGTGGGGTGTGGGTGAGGATTGGAACAGGCCAATTTATTAATCTGGGAACAACCAAGACCCCGAGAAGACTGAGTTTTCTAATCTTGAAAAACCTTCCTTCAGGGGCACGTTTTCTCCACTTCTCTCATAGTCTCTGGGTTTTATGCTTTTTTGGCTGCCATGAAAGGGACTTCTGATATCAGACCTTCTCATGGGTGACTTCTACTGTATATGCATCATATTTAGCTAAATTAAATGATGCGGCTCTCTTACTAGTTTCAGTGTTTTTTCAGTTGATTTGACTACATTTTCTAGGCAAATACATTATATATAAGAAATAACTTGTCACCTCTTTCCAATAATATCTTATTCCTGTTTCTTCCCTTGTTACCTGGCTAGAAGTTTCAGGATGAAAATGGTCGTGGTGACAACCTGCTCCTGATTTATGTTTCTCTAACATAGGGTGACATCAGCTTTTTTTTTTTTTGAGTTGGAGTCTCACTCTGTCGCCCAGGCTGGGGTGCAGTGGCATACTCATAGCCACCCCAGCATTGACCTGCTGGGCTTCGGCAATCCTTCCACTTCAGCCTTCCAAGTAGCTGGGACTATAGGTGTGCACTACCACGCCCAGCTAATTTTTAAAAATTTATTATGGAGACGAGGTCTTGCCAAGTTGCCCAGGCTGGTCTTGAACCCATGGGTTCAGGCAGTCCACTCGCCTTGGCCTCCCAAAGTGCTGGGATTACAGGCTGAGCCACTGAGCTTGGCCTCAACATCAGCTTTTGATAAAGGTTTGAGATGGGAAAGGCTATTTCAGTAAAGACAGTCTCTTCCTTTTTTTTTTTTTTTAAGTTGGAGTCTCACTTTGTCACCCAGGCTGGAGTGCAGTGGCATGCTCATGGCCACCCCACTGTGCACCTGCTGGGCTCAGGTGATCCTTTTACCTCAGCCTTCCAAGTAGCTGGAACTACAGGTGTGCACTACCACGCCCGGCTAATTTTTTGATTTATTGTAGAGATGAGGTCTTGCCAAGCTGTCCAGGCTGGTCTTGAACCCATGGGCTCAGGCAATCCTCTCACCTCGGTCTCCCAAAGTGCTGGGATTACAGGCTTGAGCCACCACGACTGGCCAGTCTCTTTCTAATTCACTGAGGATCTCATCAGGAGTGGGCAGTGACTAAACACCATGGAACAACTCTGTGGCACCACAGGCAGGGCCACATATTTCAGTGCCCGTCCAGCATATTTCAGTGCCCGTCTAGCAGAAGTAGCCAGAATAAGACAAAAATGGACCCTATGCTAATATCATCCCTCTCGGGCCAAGTGGGATTCTTTCCCCCATTTTCTTTCTTTCTTTTTTGAGAAAGGATCACACTCTGTAGTTCAGGCTGGAGTACAGTGAAGCGATCCTGGCTCACTGCAGCCTTGACCTCCTGGGCCCAAGCGATCCTCCTGCCACAGCCTCCAAAGTAGCTGGGACTACAGGCATGCATTAACATGCCTGGCTGATTTTTGATTTTTTTGTAGAGACAAAGTCTCGCACTATTACCCAGGCTGGTCTCAAACTCCTACACTCAAGCAATCTTCCTGCCTTAGCCTCCCAAAGTGCCGGAATTATAGGTGTGAGCTACTGTGTCTGGCCCCTTGATTTCTCTTGGACATTTTTTTCAAGTTTTTAATTCTGTTTGTTTGTTTTTTGTTTTTTTGAGTTGGAGTCTCACTCTGATACGAAGGCTGGACTGCAGTGGCAAGCTCACAGTCACTGCAGCCTCGACCTGCTGGGATCAGGTGATCCTTCTGCCACAGCCTTCAGTAGCTGGAACTACAGGCGTGCACCACCATGCCCAGCTTATTTTTATTTTTATTTTTTTGAGTTGGAGTCTCACTCGGCCGCCCAGATTGGAATACAGTAGCCGCTCCCGGCTACCGCAGCCTCGACCTGCTGGGCTCCAGCGATCCTTCCGCCTCAGCC